CTGTATTGGGGAGCCAATTCAATTGCTCCGATTTCTATTGCGACTGCAGACGAGTAGCCGACCGCTGTAAAAAGGGCTTCAATAACTATGKTATTATTCAATCAAGTATAAACATAATAATTATTTAACAAATTTAAAACATTTCAAATTATTTTACGTTACAATTCGATTAAACCAGTCTTGCCACAACAATAAAACAAACAAATATTGTTTGGTAAACATTTAATAATATAGTAATATAATAAAAATGTATATAATATTATATTTATATATATTTATTTTTATTCTGTTATATAAATCATAATAATATGTTAATTTAATTTAGTATTTGCATGTCCAACTCGTGGGAGAAATCGTTGACCAGAAAGTTTGACAAACTATTTCGCGGGATTGCCACTTGTCGTTGAGTATTGAAATCGACGTAAGGGCCAAGGGGAGGATATCGTTTTTTTTTTTTCGAAAAATCGGCAGCGTTCCAATAGAATACGGTTTTATACGTCTGAATATCGTAATGTAAGGACGAAAAAACAACCTAACCAGATGTCAGAGCCCGATATAAAATATAAGCTGTACTACGGTTGTAGTACGTCTAGCAATTAAAAATAAAAAACGTAAAAGCTTTTTGCGTTTTTAATATTGATCAATACGCCTAACCGTATACACATGCACACCCGCATTCACATTAAATTGAGCGTATAGACATGTCTGCCTACTTCTCGCAGTGTTCAAGTGCGTACATATAGACAAAAATCCCTCATCAAACGAATACGACCGTCATCGTCGAACACATTTTGAATTGTCATTTGGTTTTTTATTCAAACGTGTTGAAAAATATTTTACATGGTATCGATTTGTTGTTGGTCGTGAGTGGGTGGTTGGGTGGGCAGTGGGCATATAGGTGTAGTTTGGCCACAGTAATTATAATATACAGTGGGGGAGGGGGGACGGCGTAACAATATCGTTATACAAATCATACGTAGTGGTGTAGCTATTAGAGGAGGGGATTTTGGGTGTTTAACCGGCTCACCCGCTTCCATTGACATTTCCCCCTAGTAAATGTATTATTTATATACGAAAACCGTAAAAAAACTTGGTTAAATATATACTTAATCCCCCCCTGCCCAGCCGCGYCACCTATTTCCTGGCTACGCCACTGTAACTACGCGTGTTTTATTGCTGAATGATTTCCGTTCTAGAGCGTCGTAGAGTGATCTGCAGACAGAGTTATGTATATTTTCTTATTTTTTTTCTTATATGCCTATCAACTATAATGTTGTTGAAACATTTTTGGAAATCAGAATTCGAAAAAAATAAAAATAAGTGTTGTTATTGTGTTGTGAGTCGAAACGAAATAGTTACTATGMTACCTATATGGGTATAATATACACAACATTACCTATATCGAAGTCAACTGTAGTTGTGCTTGTCATTGTAATTCGCTAGCGAACGAATGAAGATCGATAACGACCAGAGATCACCGGTGTGATATATAGTCGAGTCTCGCGACGAACGCATTTCGTGGTCGGTTCGGATCTTTTTGGATCGCAAAAACAAGAGACACCGTCGTCTTAACTCACGTTTATTACACAACCCAAATCGTTTTCGGTCGTTAATAATAATTGTCGTGACGGATTTCACTAATGCGCACACTCGCGGGTAGGTCGACGAATATTATTGCACTTTAATATATCAATATTATAAATGTTGGTTCGAGACGATAATATGATTAGAGAAAAAAAA